CACTAAAAACAGGCTACGCTTTCTGGACTTTGGAGTTACATCATACTCACAATAAAAAAATACATGTCAGTACTTCAGATACTTGACTTAGTTGGATAAATTACCTTTTCTCCAGATGCATCAGGGCCAAGAGCTACCTGTACCATGATGCTAACACCATTCTGTTGATGAGAAACAACATAATCATCAGCACAGCAACAAACAACTCCACAAAACTAACCTAAATTACATTTAGTCACATTGTATGCTTGTTATCTGTTGATTACAATTCTTCAAACATTGGAAATACAGGTTTGACAATAAAAGTGAAAAATACTAATTACAATATACATTTTATACAAATACATGCTGAATAAGTAATAAAACACTAAAATGATGTAGGCATTAGTTATACAAACCCTTGGTGAAGAAAGGGGTTATGAAGACAAAGAAGACATCATAAACAAGGAGCAGGCTCAGCAGAATCACACAAATCTGTTCACAGAGAAAAGTCTTTGTCAGTGAAGCTAATTCCAGATCTGAGACACTAACTTTAACATTGCTCAATTACAAAAAATCAAAGATGCATTTATTCTGAGTTTATGTGGTTCAAAGATCATATCTAAGAGAAAAACAGGAGAAGCGGGGTGATGCGGGTGTGTTTGGAGGAGACTTGCTCAGATGCCGAGCACAGGTATTCTAAACCACCTGTAGATGCTTCAGGGAGGATTTGCTCAGACACGTGAAAAGCCAGTTGCAGCAGTCTAAACTGGCCCTACAGTCTGGAATGGTTTCCCTTTGTAAATCAGAACAAGAGAACTGACATGAGAATCCAGGGTGAGAGCTGGGTCAAAGGTCACACCAAGATTCCTGACGGAAGGTTTGGTGTGAGAAGCAAGCTGACCAAGAGCGTCTCTGACTTTGGGAACCAGCTTGTCTGGGGCACAGACATGGACGTAGTTTGGGGGGTGGGGGGACATGTCCACTCCACTTTGTCCAAAGTCAAGTTTTGACCCCTGCACTTTTTACCATCCAAAAACAATATCACGCTATATTAAATTGACACTGGTTGAGCTCTAGGACCAAGCGGAAAACAACCGTTTGTGTTGAAGCCTGTTTCCCATTAGAGTATACTGTAAAGATACCCCCCCGTGTCCCCCCCACTTCTAAAGTGAAAATTACGTCCATGGGCACAGATGTGGATCTCAGTCTTATCTTCATTCAGTTGTAGAAAGCTCCCACCATCCAGGTTTTAATAGAGTCTAAGCAGGTACCATTTTAGCTCCTACTCTCAGGCAGGGGCTTTCTGTGGTTCCTGAGGAACTAATGTGACGTCTTTGTTTGGTGAACTCATAAGCTACACCCCTTAATGGATGGATATATCAGGATGAAGCACGTGTAGCTTTTAAACTTTGGGATATGATTGGGAGATCTAAGCAAGGTCTGGAATTTGAACAGAAAAAAGGTGCAAATGCCACATATAAGTATGCTGTTCGTTTTCTATCAAAAATGAGCAGATCATGAGGGCAGATTCTATGGCCAGGAAATTTACAAGTAATGATGTCAAAGAATTTTGGAAAGATGTAAAAACAATAATTGCAGATCTCTACCAGGTACTGTTGAAGGTGTTTCTGGGGAAGATAATACTGCAGCATTATGGAGACATCATTATTATGCATTGTTCAATTGTTTAAAAAGGGATCAGTATGAGGATAGCTCGGTTATTAATGATGAATCTATATGTTTAACGACCCATGAGGTGCATGAAGCCATTCACAAACTAGCTGATCATAAGGCTTCTGGTCTGGATCACATTAGTGCAGAACATTTGAAATATGCTAGCCAAAGACTAGCTCCCCTTTTAGCTCTATGTTTTACAGGGTTCATGATTCATGGCATACTACCAGACTCAATGATGGCAATTCTGCTTGTCCCAGTTATTAAGAACAAATCTGGGAAGGTGACCAGTATGGATAATTATAGGCCGATTGCACTAGCCCGTGGTTTATCTAAAGTTTTAGAAAGAATCCTATTTGATAGAGTCACTGTGTACCCCAGTTCCTTGGATAATCAGTTTGGCTTTGAGCCAAAACATGGTACTGACATGTGTATATACGCACCTAAATAAATGGTAAACTGGTACAGAAATAGAAATTCTTCTGTCCTTATGTGTTTTCTTGATGCTTCTAAGGCTTTTGATCGTGTAAACCACAGAAAACTTTTTATTAAGTTAAAGCAACAGGGGGCCCCTGGGTTTATTGTGAGGATCCTTTCTTACTGGTATGCTCATCAGAAGATACAGGTTAAATGAGGTGGCAGCATCTCTGCACCATTTGGTGTTGGTAATGGTGTTAGGCAGGGTGGAATTTTTGGCTCTCTGATGTCACATGGGCTTGTAGGCGGGCGTGTAGATCCTCTGAGAGAAAGTGGAAAAAGGATGGCCTACAGGTCTCGCGTGAGTTGTTCAGAGCATCTCTGGTTGCTTATCAGGATGCTGTGAGGGCTGTTAGAACGGCCTATTTTGCAGACATCATTGAAGCGAACTCCAATAATCCTAAGATTCTCTACAAAACACTAAACTCTGTTCTGGTGTATCAGGAGCCTAGCTCCATGTCCTCTACAGCTGCTGGAAACTGGAGATTTTCACAAATTCTTTGTTGATAAAGTATCAGGCATTAGAGCAGCTATTTCTGGTAACTCTGTTGACCCTGTTCCAGTTGAAGAAGAAAATATCATTTCTATAGCGCCTCGCAAGATAAAAATCACGAGGCGCTTCACAAAAACAAAAAATATAAAAATTGTAAAAATATAAAAAAAGCATTTAGAAAATGTTTAAAAATATATTTAAAATGAGCAAGAATAAGCTATTGCGATTTAAAATAAAAAATGTTAAGAAAGAGAGAGTGAACAGGAAAGAGGGAAACCAGTGGATCCTGAGGAAGGTGGAATAGGTGGGGAGAGCAGAATAAAGAGAGAGAGGTGAAGAAGGTCATACAAAAGCCAGCTTGAACAAGTGAGTCTTCAGCTGCTTTTTAAAGGAGACCACTGAGTCCACTGATCTCAGGCTCAGGGGGAGAGAGGTCCAGAGTCTGGGGGCCACAGCAGCAGATGATCTGTCACCTTTGACCTTTAGCCTGGTGCTGCACAACCAGTAGGCTTTGGTCACTGGACCTCAGGGACCTGCTGGAGGTGTAGGGACTAAGAAGATCACCAATGTAAGATGGTGCTTGTCCATGTAAGGCCCTACAGACCAGAACCAGGATCTTGAAATGAACCCTGAAGTTGACTGGCAGCCAGTGAAGCTGGAGGAGAAGCGGGGTGATGTGGGTGTGTTTGGAGGACTTGGTCAGAAGCCGAGCACAGGCGTTCTGAACCACCTGTAGACGGTTCAGGGAGGTTCTGCTCAGACACGTGAAAAGAGAGTTACAGTAGTCTAAGCGTGAGGAGATGAAGGTGTGGAGAACTGTCTCAAGTTCAGAGCGGGACAGAATGGGACTCAGCTCAGCAACGTTCCTGAGATGGAAGAAGGAAGAGCCAACAAGAGAACTGACATGAGAATCCAGGGTGAGAGCTGGGTCAAAGGTCACGCCAAGATTCCTGACGGAAGGTTTGGTGTGGGAAGCAAGCTGACCAAGAGAGTCTCTGACTTTGGGAACCAGCTTGTCTGGGGCACAGATGAGGATCTCAATGTAATGGAGACCAGGGGTTCCATTCATTATGATTTATGTTCTGTTATTTCTGATTGAGTTACAGACAAAAGGTTTTGTTATTGAAGTTATTTATTTTTTGTTGGACATTTAAAACAGATTCTTTGGAGGCAGAGGGACTGGCCACCCTTCCTGTGTAAAAGGGAAATGTTTGTTAAATGTCAATTTGTGTTTAAGTTAATCTCCAAAGTTTCACTCACCTTTCTGGTAGTGTCTCCTCAGCAGGGCGGGGCAGCAAAGGGAAGTTTGTGTCCCAGGTGCTGCTTTTCAGCTGCTGGAGCATACCACTTAAATAAGGAGGGGTGATTCTTGGAGGAGTTATGTGAAACCTAGTTTCTTTTGTTTGATTGAACTTGGATTTATTTAGTATGATTTGTATTTATGTAAATAATGTTTGGTACCATTTATTTTGGTGGTTGGGTTCTGTAAATATTATTTAGTTATTATTTCTTTGATTACCCCTCTTCTTGGTTTCTTCCAATCAGTCACTTAGTTATAAAAGGCAGTGAGTGTTGGTGTTAGGAGATGTTGGTGTTGGTGACAAACATGTTGCAATAAAGCCACCTCAACCTGATTTATTTGTTTGCCTCTCCTTCAAACCACGTGCCGCCGCCGGTCAAAACTGACACTCAGTTTTATCTTCATTCAGCTGAAGAAAGCTCCCACCATCCAGGTTTTGATAGAGTCTAAGCAGGTGTGTAACAGCTGCAGCTTAGACATCTCATGGGACTTAAAGGAGATGTACAGTTGGATGTCATCTGCATAAAGATGGTAGGAGATTCCTTTGAAGGAGCTCAGGATGTGCTGAAGAGGAAGCAGATAGAGGAGGAAGAGCAGAGGCCCCAGCACAGAACCTTGTGGGACACCATGGGTAAGAGAGGTGGTGGAGGACCTAAACTTGGAGACGGCCACAGAAAAGGAGCGCTCAGAGAGATAAGAGGAGAACCACTCCAGAGCAGATCCTGATAGGCCTACCCAGTCTCTCAGCCTCTCCAGTAGCAGGTGATGGTCAACAGTGTCAAAGGCTGCAGTCAGGTCCAGCAGGACCAGAACAGAACCGTCCCCTGCATCACTGTGAGTCAGAAGGTCACTAGAGACCCTAAGAAGAGCTGTCTCAGTAGAATGAGCTCTACGAAAACCTGACTGGAAGCTATCATAGATGTTACGTTCATCAAGAGCAGCTGTGAGTTGTTTAGCCACAACCTTTTCCAAGATCTTGGAGATGAACGGAAGTTTAGAGATGGGTCTGAAGCTGCTATGGAGAGAGGGGTCGAGACTCGGTTTTTTAAGAAGCGGGTGGATTACAGCGTTCTTAAAGTAAGCAGGGACCTGACCAGAGACCAGAGAAGCATTAATTTAGGGCTGAAACGATTGCTCGAGTACCTCGAATGATTCGAGTACAAAAAATCCTTGAGTCAAATTCTTTGCCTCGAGGCTCCATTTAATTCATGTTTAATTAATTCATGGCTTTGCAATCACCCGGGGTCATGTTTCACCCAGACAAAAATAAGTGACGCACATACACACTGCACTGAATGCACACGTGAGTAGCGAATGTAACTTAACTTTCTCAAAAAAATAAAAAAACGTAACTTTCTCTTAAGCCATGGCGGATAACGTGGACCCCGGTGGAGTGCGAAAAAGACAGAAAATGTCAAAGGTGTGGGACCATTTTTCATATCGTAAGGCGGAAAACGTAGTCCAGTGTAAATACTGTAAAATGGATTTAGCCTACCACACCATATTCCTCAATGCTGCAACCTGACCAGGAAACATCCACATGTAAACGTCTCTTCTGCAAGCGGACTCGGAGCCTCTACAAGATAATGCATTTTAGCCTGTATTTCTATATATTCTGCGGACACTGTGCGACTTTTTTGTTTGTAGCGCTCAGTTTCAGCTCTCACCGTACGTCTGGGAGCAACACGTCAGTCTTAAAATGTGCTAAAAATAGCAGTTTTTGCAACACGTGGGACTTTTTACTGTGTTGTTTGTTGATGTCCGTTGTCCCTCAGGATTGCTGCAGGAGGACAGGTATTTATGAGAGTGACGGAGGAAAATGAAATAAAGTAAATAAATGTTGTGTGATCAGTATAACTTGACATAACCACGGCAAACATGCTTTCGACAAGCCTTGTTAGTGTGAGGGAAAAAAAGTGTAGAAATTAAAACGGATGTGTGTTAATAGGGAAACAGCTGGCGAGCCATGTTTGCGCATGTGCCGTGAGCGGTTCTGGTGCTGTTTGGGCCGCAGTCGCTCGCATTTGTTTACTGTGAAGTTGAGGTGCTGAAGTTTTGAAAACTAATTTTGAATAAAACTTGAAGAATAACTGGCAATTGCTCATTTTAAGAGGTCTTTCATATTTTATAACATGCTGTTTGATATAATGGTTTACAAATGCAAAAGGGTAATTTATTAGAGTACTCGATTAATCAATAGAATATTCGATAGAGTACTCGATTACAAAAATATTCGATAGCTGCAGCCCTACATTAATTATAGAGAGCACGCTGGGACCGATGGACAGAAAAGCACTTTTAAACAAAGATGAGGGTAAGATGTGGAGGGGGCATGCAGAGGTCTTCATAGAGTTAACTAGTTTGGTTAACTCAGGCAAAGAAACAGGAGCAAAGCTATCTAGGATGATGGGCCTGGTTGGAGTCGGGAGAGGCGGCGATAAGACTGAAGGAGAGATGCTAGATCTAACCTTATTGACTTTGTCCACAAAGAAAGACAGAAAGTTCTCACAGTCTGTAACAGAGTGGATGGAGGCTGTAGGAGAGGCAGGAGAGACGATGCTGCTGATGGTGTTAAACAGCACCTTGGGGTTCCCTTTGCTCTGGGACACCAGGTTGGAGAAATAGGAAACCCTGGTGTCTCTGACTGCAGAGTTAAAGGATGTCAGAAGATCCTTTAGGTGCAGCAGATGGACGTGGAGATGGGTTTTCTTCCACAAACGCTCAATTTTCCTGCATTGGCGCTTCAGGCTGCGAAGGCTGTCATTAAACCAGGGAGTAGGGTTCACTGCAGGAACTGATCTGGTTCTGACAGGACAGATGTTGTCCAGAATGGAGAGGCAGTGCTCATTAAACTGAGAAGTTAAGGAATCTGGGTCGTTATCAGAAGAACATGGTGGATCAAAAGCAGCAGAAAAATTGCTAGCTGTGCTCTCACTAAGAAAACGAGGACTAACCATACAGCGAGCAGGAGGTGGGGACGCAGAAACTGACAAGTTAAAGAAAATGCAATGGTGATCTGAAATATAAACGTCCTCAGGACAAACACTGTCAGCATTTAGACTCAGGGTAAAAACAAGGTCCAGAGTGTGCTCCCTGGTGTGTGTGGGGCCAGAAACATGCTGGGTAAAGCCAAAGGAGTCCATAAGGCTGGAGAAATTCATGGCAAAGAGATCAGAGGGATCATCAATGTGGATGTTAAAGTCACCAACAATCACCAGTCTGGACAGCTTCACAGTGGAGGATAGGAAGTCACTAAACTCCTGAAGGAAAGAACTGTTTGGACCAGGTGGACGATAGACCACAGCACAGTAGAACGGGTCCTTACGCCCGACTTTAATCAGCTGCAGTTCAAAGGAAGCAAAGTGACCAGAGGTTGTAGAGCTACAAGGAAGATGGTCTCTGAAAACCACAGCTAGGCCTCCACCATGACCAGAACCCCGGGGCTGGCTAAGAAAAGAATAACCACTCGGGCAGAGTTCAATCAGACCAGAATAATCAGATGTTTGCTGCCAAACTTCAGTCAGAAACAGAAAATCCAGGTTTTTAGACAGAATTAGATCATTGAGCAGGAAGGACTTATTGTTAACAGAGCGGGTATTTAATAGAGCCATGCTGAGTGAGGTGGAGGAATCAGAAACTACAGAACCAGCTGGAGTTAGTGGACCTAAATTAGCAGGGTTAGATCCTTGGTGTTTATAAAAACCACTTATGGAGGGAACAGGAGGAGAAACCACTGAGGAATGAGGATAAACCGACCTTAAAAAACTTGGACGGATGAACCGCGTCCCAACACGGCCTGGCGGGAATGCGGAAGTGGCGCTCAGGTCACCAAATAAAGGACAAGAAGCTAGAAGATCACGCCGATGTTTACCAGATAAACCACGCTTTAAGAGAAGTCTTATTCTCACCTGGATTCCTGCTCATTTACCTCTTTTCCTCCGACGTTTTCCCGGGACCGGACAAACATAGCCGGAGGCGGGAAGCTCGGGACTGTCGATTGGTTCCGGGCCGGTGCACCATTCAGGTAAACAAACAGAATGGTATGTCCTCTGTGCATCTTGGGCAATTGTGAACGAACGGAAGAACAGAAGAGTCTGGCGATCATAGGAGATGGTAGAAGGGACACTACTGAGTGTAGAAAAGTTTGAAAAAGTGGCCGGTGACTGCGGCTAAGCCAAGCACAGGGCCATCTTGTTGCCGACCGGAAGCGGACGAGGGCCATGAGGGATGGACGAGGGGGAGGGCCATCTGAGGGCCATGGGCCCTCAGATTAATGCAGTGGTCAGATCTTGTTTCTTCCAGCTGCGCCGACTGATTCGCTTGAAACCAATTCTGAAATGGGGGCACCTAGAATCTGTGATTCATGCTTTTATCATCTCCCAACTGGATTACGCAAATTCCATTTTATTTGGTGTACCAGCCTCTATTCTTAACAGGCTTCAGGTCATACAGAATGCAGCAGCCAGGAGTTGGGAAAAAACTGATATTTTACTGTTAATGTCTTTAATGGTTTGACATCTGGAGGTCAAACGAAGGTTCATTGTTTATCTGCTTCTTATATTCCTCCAACAGGGAGGACTGACCTTGCGCTCAGTACCAGAACTTATCAGTAGTACTCTGGGTTATGGGCCTGACGGCTCTGTTGTTGTAAAACCTGCACCTGGTGTTCCTTCCTCACTGTGAGGCTGTGAGAACCTCTCCATGTGTGTGTGTAAATGTGTGTGCGTTTACCATTTTTGTGTGTCCTTAATAAATGCTTTCTGAGGGTTCTGTCTGATGAAAGCGAATTGACTACCGACTTGTGTATATCATTGATCTCTCTCCACTTTGCAAAGTCTAAATTGTGATTGTTGGTCAAGTATTGGTATGGGTTAATAGATTGGCTTATTAATATAACCCCTGCGTGGTGAACTTTCCCTAAGGTAACCCTGGATGGGAAATTAAATTACCTAACACCAGGTTTCTGACGAACACCTCTAGACGTGACCAAATGACACCTGTGCTGGTGCGGCTCCATTGGCTACCCGTGAACTTCAGAGTGAAGTTTCAAATACTGATCTTTGTTTTTAAGGCCCTGCATGGTCTGGCACTGACCTTGTGACCTTGTGACTCGTTATGTGCCAAACCAGGCATTGAGGTCTGCCGATTGCTTGCTGCTTCACGTTCCCACAATGAAATACAAAACACGGGGTGCACTTTGATCGGCTGCCATGTCGTTTTTAAATGTGCTTTTTAATAATGTTGGTATGGTATGGTAATTCTTAAAGAAATGAAGGCATGGAACAATACCTTGAAATTAGACAATGAAATGGTCTTCATGAAGTTGAGGCAGAAAGCAATGCCCAGAAGGTCCTGCAGGATCCAGATCCACCTACAAGAAAATAAAGAGGTTTACATTTTTTATCTGAACATTAAGATAGACCTCAGGACGCAGAGAGATTATTGCTGCACTTTGCAGTTTCCTTAACTGTTCACTTTTAGTTTCAGTTGGGTCCCGTGTGCATTTGCGTGTTCAATTTTGGAGAAATGGTCTTCTCCTTTTACAAAAGCAAATGCACATAACAAATCTAATTACTGTAAAAACTGAATGAAAAAAAATCACTGCATATACTCCGGAACAGAGAGTGTGGCTAAAAGCGGACATAAGTAATTATGGGCCTGTCTGCTTAGAGCTCTGTATGGGACACTGTCACTGGGACTTTAACCTCTAAACTTTGCAACAGTGGTTCCCAACCTTTTCTGACTTGTGGAGGCCCTGAGGCATTTTCTCATAACACAAGTACACCTTTAGTCAAACATGTTGACGATTACCCAAAAGTAGAATGTACAACAGATTTTTTTAAATGAAAATATATTGATTAAATCTCCTGAACGCTGAACCACATCTCACTTCCTGTCTGGCTCTGGTTAATTCTTTAAATTTACCAATCTTTATAAAGGGTCCAGACTCCTGTGGGAACTTTCTGAAGCTTTGCATCCACACCGCACCACAGCTGGTGTCAATCCAAAAGGGTTCGAATGAAGGCAACTGGACTTCTTTGGTTTATTGAACACGTTTCCCTTCTCATACGAGGAACTTTGTCAATACTGACTGAAAATGGGAGAGTCAAGCTTAGAAGCTGTAGCTGTCTATTGGGTCAAAATTCTCATTAAGGAAGTAGAAAACTTTACCAAGCACAAAAATGCCATGGACAAGAACATCAAGTTCACCAAGGAAGATGGACACAACAACCAACTGCCCTTCTTGGACTGTGCTGTGCAAATTGAACAAGATGGTAGTCTCAGCATTGAAGTCTACAGGAAACCAACTCACATAGATCAATATCTGCATTTGGACTCACATCACCCACTGGAGCACAAAATGTCAGTCATCAGTACTTTACACCATCGGGCCGAGAACTATATCTTAAAGAGATGCTCAACAGACGTAACTTCTAAAAAAATTGTCAATCTACATAGCAGTTTTGGCTCTTTAAAGGTTATGGCTGAGTGTGTTGACATTACCGATATGTATAAACCTGAACTTTGGCCTGAGGGGGCATTCGTCTGGCGGTTTTACAAACCACGATAGCCCTAATCTTTGGAGTCGAATGTGCTTTCAGCAGCAGTTCGACCTTCTGGTCCTAGCAGATTAGCATGAGGACATCACTTCGGGTGCTCTCTTATAACGGTTGCGGACGGCGTTTGGGCCAGGATGCGTGAGCTAGAGCTTGACATACTGTGGTGGACAGTTTGCTTGAGGAATGTGAAATATTGTGTTTACAAGAAACATTTGTGCCTAAATAGGATCTAGAAAAACTTAACCACCTTAATTATAAATTAACGGGAGTTGGGGAATCAACTACTGACCTCAGCACAGCTATAGTTAGAGGCAGAATACCTGGAGGAGTGGCTGTGCTTTGGGAAAAAGCAAAAGATACAGCAATAAAACCAATCAGATTAGGGTTTGGATTGGTGTATTGGCATACAATACACCTAGAACAACAATAGCTTTGTTATTCTCAATATCTATACTCCTTATGAAACTGCTGAGAATGAAGGGGAATATCTTAATAGGTTGGCCGATATCAATAATACAGGTGCTGGCCAGTAAATTAGAATATCATCAAAAGGTTGAAAATATTTCAGTAATTCCATTCAAAACGTGAAACTTGTACATTATATTCATGCAATGCACACAGACCAATGTATTTCCAATGTTCATTACATTTAAATTTGATATTCATAAGTGACAACTAATGAAAACTCCAAATTTGGTATCTCAAAAAATTAGAATATTCTGAAAAGGCTGAATATAGAAGACACCTGCTGCCACTCTAATCAGCTGATTTACTCAAAACACCTGCAAAGGCCTTTAAAAGGTCCCTCAGTCTTGTTTTGAAGGCACCACAATCATGGGGAAGACTTCTGACTTAACAGCTGTCCAAAAGACAATCATTGACACCTTGCACAAGGAGGGCAAGACACAAAAGGTGATTGCTAAAGAAGCTGGCTGTTCGCAGAGCTCTGTGTCCAAGCACATTAACAGACAGGCGAAGGGACGGAAAAAATGTGGTAGAAAAAAGTGTACAAGCTCTAGGGATAACCGCACCCTGCAGAGAATTGTGACGACAAACCCATTCAAAAATGTGGGGGAGATCCACAAAGAGTGGACTGCAGCTGGAGTCAGCGCTTCAAGAACCACCACGAGGAGACTCATGAAAGACATGGGATTCAGGTGTCGCATTCCGTGTGTCAAGCCATTCTTGAACATGAAACAGCGCAAGAAGCGTCTCGCCTGGGCCAAGGACAAAAAGGACTGGACTGATGCTGAGTGGTCCAAAGTTATGTTTTCTGATGAAAGCAAGTTCTGCATTTCCTTTGGAAATCAAGGACCCAGAGTCTGGAGGAAGAGCGGAGAAGCACAGAATCCACGTTGCATGAGGTCCAGTGTAAAGTTTCCACCGTCAGTGATGGTGTGGGGTGCCATGTCATCTGCCGGTGTTGGCCCATTCTGTTTCCTGAGGTCCAGGGTCAATGCAGCCGTCTACCAGGAAGTTTTAGAGCACTTCATGCTTCCTGCTGCTGACCAACTTTATGGGGATGCAGACTTCACCTTTCAACAGGACTTGGCACCTGCACACAGTGCCAAAACCACCAGCACCTGGTTCAAGGACCATGGTATCCCTGTCCTTGATTGGCCAGCAAACTCGCCTGACCTTAACCCCATAGAAAATCTATGGGGTATTGTGAAGCGGAGGATGCAATACGCTAGACCCAACAATGCAGAGGAGCTGAAGACGACTATCAGAGCAACCTGGGCTCTCATAACACCTGAGCAGTGCCACAGACTGATCGAGTCCATGCCACGCCGCATTACTGCAGTTATTGAGGCAAAAGGAGCCCCGACTAAGTATTGAGTGCTATACATGCACATTCTTTTCATGTTCATTCTTTTCAGTTGGCCAACATTAGAGAAACAAACATTTTTTCATTGGCCTTTAGAATATTCTAATTTTCTGAGATACCAGATTTGATGTTTTCATTGGTTGTCACCTATAAATATCAAAATTAAACATAATAAACATCAGAAATACATTGGTCTGTGTGCATTGCATGAATATAATGTACAAGTTTCACATTTTGAATGGAATTACTGAAATATTTTCAACCTTTTGATGATATTCTAATTTACTGGCCAGCACCTGTATGTGTGTGTTTGCTCTGTCTTCTCCATCCCCAGTGAGTCATGGTGGATGGCTGCTTATACTGAGCCAGGATTCTCTGAAGGTTTCTTCCTGTTAAAAGGAAGTTTTCCTCTCCACTGTCGCTGCATGCTTGCTTAGTATGAGGATTGCTGTAAAGTCACTGACTAGTGTCAATTTACTGGGTCCCTTATATAGGAAACATTACTTCTGATTGGCTTAATGACCTGACCTGTATTGGAATGTTTACTGTGTGAAAGTCCTTGAGAAGACTCTTGTCATGATTTGGCGCTATTTGAATAAACTTGAGTTGAATGGATACATTTATTCAAGACCGCAGTACCTATAGTATATATGTTGTGGGAGACTTCAATGCTGACCTGTCAGATAGTAACTCCCAGTTTGATAATTACTTAACCCAGTTGTGTGAAGATAATAACCTTATTCTATCAAGTAAAGTGTGTTTACCAAAAGACAGCTATACATATATAAGTGAGGCCTGGCATAGTACAGCAGGGCTGGATCACTGCATTAGTACAGCTGATATACATGGAGCTCTGGATAACATGACTCTTAAGTATGGGGTTGCTGTTTCAGATTATATTCCTTTCGCTGTTACTATTAGTATGGAACAACTGCCTGATATAACTGAGGACAATTATGACAGTGATACCGATTTCAGTATAAAATTCAATTGCGCGCACATCCCGCTCTGCCTGTCTCAGATGTAAATCAGCTGACTACCTGGTTCCAGTCCTCCTGTTCCCAGATCTTAGACTCTGTGGCTCCTTTTAAAATCATGCAGCCGAGGCGAAAACCTGAGCCTTGGTTTAATGAGACAACTCGAGAGGCTAGACGGGAGTGCCGCAAGGCTGAGCACAGGTGGAAGAAGGATGGGTTACATGTATCCCATCAGCTTTTAAAGGACTCATGGCACAAATATCAAAGGGTAGTGAAAGACTCTAAAAGTAATTACCTGTCTAACCTGGTGGCCACAAACAAGCATAATCCTCGAGTACTTTTGAAAATGGTTAACTCTGCTCTTCAGCTTCCTCAGACTGATGATATAGAACATCTATTGAGCTATGCAATGACTTTCTGAATTATTTTATCCAAAAGGTGGCTGATATTAGGACAACTATCCCAGTGCCGAATTTGGATCTTTCAGAACCAGTGATTCCTATGGGGGCATTTGACAAAGATATTTTGGCTTATAGTAATAACACAAATCAAAATCTAAATAATATCTTCTTGGCAAAAGAAGCTATTTTGTGCAATAATATCAATTGTAAGAATCTGAAACATAAAGGTAAACTCTGCTCTATGTATGAGGACTTGGTGAATGCTCTATATAAAAGTGGTAATCCATTTGATGTCAAGTGTAAGAAAAAGCAGAAATATAAAGGCAGATCTGGCTGGAGAGAAAATGTCGCTACATATCGAGAGGAAGTTCGTGCAGCTTTTCAACTATGGGACATAATTGGCAGACCCATGCAAGGTTCAGAGTTTGAATGGAAAACGCGAGCAAATGCCAGAGTTAAAAAAATTTTTGGTAAAAGCAGCTTTAAATAAAAGGATCTTTAGCTGTTTTTTAAAAGCGTCCAGACTGTCAATGCTACGTAAGGATAAAGGAATATCATTCCAGAGTCGGAGTGCAACAGTCTGGAAGGAGCGATCACCTCGACTT